CATTTTATATTGTTGGGTTTGAGTTTTCAAAGGAGATTAAAGTTAAAAAGCATGTACCCCAAAGAGCGTAACCACGAATATCCTCATAATTGGATGATCCACCACCATTGTCACCCTCAGAATTAGGTGCTGTTGCTGGAGGAGAAGCATTTTGGGAAGTTGTAATATTTATAAAAACACTAAAACAATTTGAGTGAACCCACATCAAATTGTGGAATATGATAAGTACTAAACTAACAAAAATAAATAAAACAGTATATGCTTTTCAATTGTCTTTGTAAAATAGATAGATGAAGAGGCATTATACTACAGTTTGGTGTTTTCTGTTTATACTACAGTTTGATTCTTCTGTATAGTTTTTTCTATTTAATATATAAAAGTAGATACATATAAAATTCCCTATTTAATATATAAAAATAAATACATTTCTCTCTCTCTCTCTCTTTCTCTCCCCTCTAAAAATAGCACACACTCTCTCTCTAGAAATCTCTGAAGAAGAGGACAAAGCAGAAGATGAGCAAAGCCATGGTACATTTAGATCAGATTGTTTTTCCTTCTTTGAACAAATCTGATAAAGCCACCACACCATCATTTGAAACATCATTGAGGTTGTGGCTAGGAGAAAGGCAGGAGGACGGGAATAGGGGTTTCGGGTTTGGATTTCCGGTGAATATTGTTGTTGTTCTTGTTGTTGTTGTTACCAAGATCAGCTGATTCAGATTTAGATGTATCAGTACTGGTGGTTGTACATTGGATATTCTAGTGAACTGAGTTGTGTATGTCGTGGCTCTTGCAGTGTTTGATGATGAAGATCTTCTTCAGAGGCTCTTCTTCTGGCTTTTTCGTGGTCTTGGTTTGATTTGGAGGTGGGTCTGGAAGTGCATTTGGAGAGGAACAAATGGTGGTTTTCTTGCTCAAAGAACTACCCATTTTAGATGGAGAGAGAGATGGGGAATTACAGAGAAGAATGAGATGGAAAGGAAGGGAAATGAGAGAGAAACATGTGTTTTAGGTGGTTCTGTTCAAGAAGAACAGAGAGGAAGAGAGATAAAAGGAAATGGGAAGGAGACGTGGTAGAGAGGGAAGGTGGGGAGACGTGGGTAGTTGGAAAGCTCAGAAAGAATTTGGGCGGGAATTATAATTGATCTAAACCATTAATATAAATATAAGATTCATCTTAGCCGTTCAAACGAAATGTATCTCTAATACATTTTATATATTTTCAAAATCCGTTCTGTTTTATTATATATATATATATATTTATCAAGTGTTAAGGATCCTCTAGAGTGAGATTTCCCTAAAGTTTCCTAGAGTGCTATATTGTATGGTTGAGATTTACTGGCAATATAGCACTCTAGGAAACTTTAGGGAAATCTCACTCTAGAGGATCCTTGGTGATGATACAACCGCTTAAAAGTCAGTTATCCGGTCCCTATGGGATCTCATTGGTATGAAAACTAACTATCGAAAATAAGCACTAAATATTGTGCAAATATATGACCCACAAATTGTAATTGTGACTGGACCTCAAGTTTCCAGATCAAAAAGAAAGTATCATGAAGCATAATCTAGGCACACATTAGCACAATAAGTGGGCAGGAGAACAAATGAAAAATATAATTGATAGTCTTCTACATACCACTTTTCCAGCAAACATCTTCTTCAGTTCAACTTCGGCTAATGTTGAGTACTCAGCATCTTCCCCTGCCTAACCACATTTGCAGCATGAAAGAAGTGAATGAGAGGACAATAATGGGAAAAAATGGATGAGAGAACTAAAATGTGCAGTGCAGTCAGTGGAATAAATCAATTTGGCAAAGTGTCAGAGATTTACGAAATCTAAGATATCACTTCACCGATCCACATTATTACAAAAATACTTAGTTTCAAGGTACAATCAACACTTAAAACAGCACTCCTGTCCTATAATTTGCGAACACCTAGTAGTTTGAGTTGAAAAGAAAGGCTCATTGTATCCTAGATTGGTCCAGAAATCTTCTTAGATTCTTTACGAAAAATTTATTTATCTTCTTAGATCAACTGCAATTTAAACTTTTCTCAAATTCAGCGACAATGCAATGTACCACCCTAATTTAAAAACTTTATGTTCGACATACTAAAACGGAAATGCATCCGACAGATAGCTATAAATTATAATCTATAAAGGAAGGCCACAACAGATGTAGGCCTAGGTAAAAGAGCTAAAAGAGGAATCATAGAATTGACAGAAGTAGTTGAGATAACACTTGCAGGAAAAAAAAAAAAAAAGAGAGGTCGTTTTCTTGATTTTTGAGTTGTAAATATATCCAAATTAGTTTTATTTATTTATTTATTTTTGTTAATGGGAATATGAAGGGGATCACGGGATTGATTTTTACCTCATATAGATGTGCCAAGCGGAGGAGCACCTTTCCATCATCTAGTGTATGCCCGTGCCTAAAGGCACGGTGTAAATAATATTGAGATCGAAATATATTTGTAATTTATATACGTATCATATTAAAACATGTGGAGTCTGTAACATTTTTTCTTCTTAAAGAACTTTTAATAATTTTGCTTATACCATACCCTCTACAGAATTCAATTAAAAATAACAACTCTCCCTAGTCTTAATGCAAATTAAGGAATAAACATATAAAATTTATAATGTTCATTAAAATTAAAATGGTAAACTAATGATCTGCAATTATAATAAAATAAAATTAACCAAACAATACACACCAATTCATGAGTAGTAAAAACTAAATGACATAATGTGGAAACAAAATTAGAACAAAAATAAATAAATAAATAAAAATAAAAAATACACATACAACAGAATTAGGTCAAATTTTTATTTTTGATAGTTATTTTGATGTTAAAAAACAAATTCACTCTAGTTTTTGGATGTATGTATGGTCGACCATACTATTAAGAGAGTAGTTTTTGGATGTAGAAATGGCAGTAGTTAACAACTGGGAATAAAAAGCTTTGCATCCAAAAAAATGCTTTTTGATAGCCATCAATGCATTCCAACCAAATCTAGCAACAAAAACTGATGCAATACAATTCAGTTATTTTTATCTATATTTTCTTCTAGAAGCAATCAAGTAAATAGAAGCAAAGATTATGCAAGATAACTTTCGACAAAAATATATAAATGTGAGGGTGAAAAGAAAACAAAGCAGCTAAAGTAAAATCTTTTAGTCTGAATAAATAAATTATCTACCACATGATCATGCATACATGGATTATAAAAAAATCATGGAACTAATTTTCTTATATTAGATGTGATATAGGATTTATGGATACAATCATGGAACTAATTTTCTTAAATCAACCTAATGAAAAGTGCAATAAAATAGAAGCACAAATGACAATTCAATTAAAGAAGAATGCATGGATAGTTTTTTTATTTTTTATTTAAGCTTTAAATTTTGGTTCCCCTATGACTAAAAGGATATATTATATTAGAAGTCCTATTAAAATTAAGTTGCCAAACTACAAAACAATATGTGCAACATATGGGTTGTGTTGAGCCATGGTACCACTCTCAATCATCCCATAAAAACAAATTGAATTAATGATTGGGATCCATTCCACTAATGTAAAGATGATGATAAGATAAACAAATTTACTTATCACACTATTACTCGTTTGTAAATGGGCATTGGACATTAAAAAAATAAAATTAAATTAATATAACGGTGATATCATATTAAAAAAATTGATCATATCATTGAATTTTTATTTTGAGGATGATGCAGCCATTTTATTGTTCTTGGTTACATTGTTTTATCAAGAGTTGTGCCTCGTTTCGGAATTCGAACTCAGATTTGGAGGAATTTTAAATACTCTGTTATCCTCAAATGCTATACAATTCTATGAACCAAACATCTTTGAGGAAAACAAAAAAGAATAATGAAATTGTGAGTTAACATAGCTGAAAAAAAACAAAGGAATTGGTGACTTGTTTCCTTTCTCTTTGAGTTGATTTTTTGCTAGATGTGTTGTTTCACATTTTTACATCAGATAAAATCGTTACAATAACTATAAAAAATAAAAATTGGTCACAAAATCTAAATCGTTCATATCAAACACAGAAGTTAACAATTTTTACACTGGAATGCAATATTTCATATAAGATAAATTAGAAATCAAGAAATTTATTGAAATCAAAACATCAAATCCAAAAACTGAGAGCGAAGACTCACTGTCTCGAGGATAAGAACCGAACCGAAACTTCGCTGATACAATGATGCTTCCTCGACAATGTTGAAATTTCCCGTTAAAAAAAAAATAAAAATTGTCGAAATTTCGGAGGGAGGGTAACACCATAATAATTGAATCTCATTCTCCAAGCCAAGTCTGGCAATGGTAAGGAAGATCGAAGGTGCTGTGATTGTGTGAAACCACATTTATAAATTGAAGACACTTTATGGGTACTTTTTTTGGGAAAAAAAAATCGTACATACAATAACATGAATATAAACAACAACAACAATAACATCCAATCGAATATAATCGAATTTCACAATGAACTCAAAAAAACCCCTAAAATTAACCAAACAATAACATGTTTTCCCTGAAGCAATGCCTCAAAATAAACAAAATTAAATCACCCAAATCCATTTGCTTTACATAAACATAGAATTTTTCATCAACATGATTGAATTTTCTGTACTTACAAACAAACCCATTTGCAAACTAACTCATCACAGTAGTGTGAATTATTTCCGAACCCATTTTCTGAATCCACAAAAAGCCTCAACTAAACACACCCAGAGTGAGAAACACAAATCAATACACCACTTCACACACACACACACACACACACACACATATACATCAAGAATTCATGAATATGAGCTAAGAAAATTTTACCTTGAATTCATGAAAAGCATGAGAATTCAATCTGAGCACCATGGTGAGAATTGATTGTTGATGTTAAAGAGGATAAGGTTATGAAACCCTTTCAATATTGCTCTAAATTTTGGATAGAGATAGAGATAGAGAAGGAGATGGAGAAGGAAAACTTGGTTAGAAATGATGGAATGATGATGAAACTGCCAATCGGTTTTAGATTCCACCCAACTGATGAAGAGCTTGTGGTTCACTACCTCAACCGAAAGATCCACTCTTTTCCATTGCCTGCTTCTGTCATTCCTGATCTTGATGTTTTCCAAACCAACCCTTGGGACTTGCCTAGTTAGTTACAATTATTCCTCACTTAACTTATTACTACCTAGTTCCTAATTCCTACTAAATTGCGACAAATGTTTGGTTGCTTTCATGCCCTGTTAAAATCAACTAAACAAATAGTTCAAAATGCAATTTGTACATAAATTTAGCAACATCCTTAAACCAAGATTGTATAGATGTGATTGGTTTTAAATAAGGAGCATGGCATGTCTTCTAGGTGTCATCCTTAAACCAAGATTGTATAGATCTGAAAAAAATTCTAAAGTCAATCACCTTTTAAAAATTATTTGCATACACAAATAAAAATATTTGAAATCTATGGATACTTTCAAAATTTTCATTATTTTATAAACACCAAAAATTGAACAAAGAAAATAAAAACAAAATCAAATAGAGCCTTTTTATGTGTTTGTGTTCAATTGAAATTGATAAATTCTTCTAAGCAAACAAAATCAAATAGACCCTTTTTATGTGTTTGTGTTCAATTTTGTTTTTAATGATTTTTTCCCCCTCTCTATTCAGGGTTCAGGTGATTCGAAAGAGAAAAGGTATTTCTTCTGCAAAAGATCTAAAAAGAATGTGAACAAATGCAAGGGAATCACGGGGTCTGGTTATTGGAAAGCCATGGGCAAAGAGAAATATATTATATCTCCTGGAAGCAATCAAGTTGTTAGGGTTAAAATTTTTCTCAGTTGAAGCCAGGGTTGACACAGCCCGTCTGAAAGAGAGAGAGAGAGAGAGGCAGGACATGATGAACTCAAAAAAAAAAAACCTAAAATTAACCAAACAATATCAGAAATCGCAATAATAATAAAAACACACAGCCCAACAGAGAGAGAAGGAGAGAAGTAGAAACCGGGGACTACCTTGCGAGCCAAGTTCGAGAGGCAGAAATCGAGGACTGGAAAGCAGTGTCGAGAGCAAGCGAAGAGGAAGGGTAGGAAAGAAGAAGAACAAAGAGAGAGAGAGAGAGAGAGAGAGAGATCTTACCTTGCGAGCCGAGTTCGAGAGGCAGAAACCGAGGACTGGAAAGCAGCGTCGGAGTGAGCGAAAGAAGAAGAATAGAGAGGAAAGGAGGGAGGGAGGGAGAGAGAGAGAGAGAGAGAGAGATACAGAGGTAATGTGAAGGAGACGTGGGTGAGAATAGAGAGGGAGAGAGAGAGACGTGGGTAGGTGGAAGGCTGAGAGACAAATATTTGGACGGGAAATACATAGATTTGAGCCATTGATATCTATCCAGGGTTGTTATAGACCATTGGATCAAAATGTATCTCACATACATTTTATACATTTTCAAAAACCTTCTTCCCTTATTATATGGATATATATATACATATTATTTTGATGCCTAATAAAAGGATTTATGTTTTTTTAGCCAGTAATCACTTTAGGTGTGGTGTGTTGTTTTAAATTTCAAGTTCTTAATGTTGCTTAAGCATGACACATACAAGTTAGTTATGCGGCTAGGCATATGATATCATACATGTATATAATGTTAGAAAATAATAATTTTGGGTAACTTTAATGTGAAATTAAAGTGGGATCCAACCGTCGGTTGAGGTAGGTCCGAGTAGGATTTATATTTCTTAAGTGAGAATGTTGCAATACAAAAATAATGAGCCGAAACCATTAAATTGTAAATGAGAATTGTCTCATACAGTAGGCATCAATAAAAGTTGGGCTTAGATTTAGACTTAGCCTTAGTTTGGACTGAGCTTAAGCTTGTGATTGTACTTGTGAATGTACTAGGTTTGGTTTTGAACTTGGACTTAGAGTTGGACTTAGTCTTAAACTTGAGCTAAGCTATGTGTTGGGCTTAACTTGTGCATATATTTGAAATTGGGCTTGGATCAGGTTATGACCCAACACCCATATCCATTTTGCTACCCATCTGTTTGAATTATTCAAATATCATAATATACATATTTATTTGTATATATTAAGCACATGAAACTCATAGACTTTTGGAGCTCTCATCTTTTAATGATGGGGTTGATGACCATATTAGTGGCTATAAGTTCTTAACCTTTGTAACTCCAGCCCTAATGGCTAGAGTTGATGGCCTTGGTTAATGACAATTTGATAACCCTATTGATGTTAGCCTTCATGGCTAAAGTTCCCCCCTAAAAGTATAAATAAAGGTTTTGCCCTCCAACTTAATAGAATAATTTTAGAGAGATTTTTTTATGGGAAATGAGATGATGTTTTGAGATAATAAAGTTGGAGATGATTTTTATGCCAAAGAATTTTTTTTTCTATCTTCTTTGTGCTAGCCCCTTCTTTGGTTCTTGTTAGAGAAAGAGTACTGCCATTGTCAAGTTCACTACAGCTATTCAAAAGGTGCTTCTACATGAGCTGGTTTCGATCGTCATATCTTGGGAAACAGATGCCGGCATACCTCTAGCACCTATCAGGAGGCGGTGAATCTATTTTAAGAAAACTGCGGTATCACACAGACTTCAATTTGCGTCTCTTATCTTTTATTCTTCAAACTTCTAAATTTAAACTATTTCTTGTATATTATTTTGTATGTCTATGTGGATCCGTCTTGTAATATGTTCCATGATTCCTATAATTTTAGTTTTGTAGTTTATTCTGTATTCCATTCTTTAATTAAAAATAAATTTATTTTGTCATTTTTATTTAATTTATTTTATATATTTTCTAGTATTATAATGAAAAAATACCAACAATCTTAAAATAGATTCATATAAATAGTTTTTGATAAAATAATTTAGTTTTATTATAGTTTTATTCTAGTGACTTTTGGAATTAAAATTAATTTAATTGCCTAGAGTTATTGGATTGTTTTGAGTTGTTTATTTCTAGTAATTTATTCATGCAATTTATTTTATACTAATTAGTTGTTATTACAGGAGTTATTTGATGGTTAGTGCTTAAGTTGCTAGGAGTTTACAATACAAATATACAAAACAAATTGGAACTAGCAAATTGGACTACTAATTTTTCACGCGTACCCCAATACTATTTAAGTTACTATCAATTTTTCCCCGGCCATCATATTTGAAACGGAAAAAGTTTTAAAAAAAATACATTTTTGCCCCAAATTTCAAAAGAAAGATGCAGACCCACCATTTCCTATACTAGCAAACCACCACCACCAACCATCATTTCAAGCCCTTCTATCTTTTTCGTCATAGCTCCATTTTGCCTCATTTTTACGTCGTTGGATTCAACTCACGATCTAGTTTTCGTATCACATCTCACACGTCTCGTTCTTCCTCTTTTTGTATGCTATCAGAGCTTTGAAAATTGATAATAATAATAAATAAAAAAAAGAATTTTCTCCTCATTTTTTACTTTTCTTTGAGCCATCTTTTGGATTTCATATCTTTTTCAATTCTTGATGGTTCTACTTCATTTTTTCGCTATTCTCTTCACCTTACTTCCTACTTCGCCCTACACTACCTCACTTTCTCACTTCCTCGTGTAATGGACGGTTTTGGTATGTTGAAAGTTGTCCGAAAATTAATTTTGAAAATTTCAAAACATTCATCTATATGGCCAAAAACTTTTAACATAAGTCTGATGGTGATCTCTACTAGATAACATATACCATGACTTAAGAACAGATTAGCTAAAACAAATAATTTTGTAGAAAGCTCATTCAAGTCATGAGATAGAAGACCACTTTGATAACAAGGCCAATGAATATAAAAGAAGCACTTCCAAGATATAAGAAATAGAGCTAATAGTAAAATGAAAAAAGTTGGTTGTAAGGCCATCTTTTGGGTCTGGCAATCATTAACAAAGACTCCCTATAACATACTGATTTCACATAGCCAGATGCTCAAATGAATAAAACCAGAGTGATTCGATTATTGGCCACTACATCCACATCCGCGGCCATGACCTCGGCCTCGACCACAGCCCGAAGGCTTCCCTGAAATTAAAAGAAATGAAAAGATTGAAACCAGTAAACACAATGCACCAAAGGTCAGTAACTGTGCGATGTGCAATACCTGCAGTGGGCCTTTCGGATTTAACTCGGGATGTCTCTTCCATCAGCAAAGTTTTGAGATTCAAGCTATCAGGTAGAATGTAGTAGCGGATGTTGTTACTCATCACCTTAGGTGATCAAGAGTAATTCTAACGCCCCAAAAATAATACAACTAATCCATTCCATGAGATTCAAGAATATAATAAAAATGATACACTTTCATTCATCAGAGTTCGTATTACAAAAAGGATTACATGCGTTACATTCATAAATGTCCATCCTAAATCTACAGCATGTAATACAAATTAATAATAACAAGATAAATACCCTACGAGAGTACATCTTTCTAAGTTATCACTTGGTTACAACAAAAGAGAGAGTCATAAGCTCTATACATATAAAACCCTCGGCTTCAATAAACATTTAAAAACAAAAATAATACAAAATGGAGCCTTCAGCTCCTGAGTCCTCCTAAGCTAATCCTTGGAGGGAACATATACCCGGTACCTGAAAAAAAGTTTCCCAAGTAGGGTGAGCCAAAGCCCAATAGAAATAGTCTAATGTAGTGTATCAAGCTTAACTAAGATATAAGTGTCAGATTAATGTTCAATATTCAAGATTAACTTACGTTCTTTTCATAACCATTCAATACTAACATTCATACCTCAATCCATTCTCAATTACTCATTTCAAGTTAATTCATTTCTTTCCAAGTCATATGGAAAATATAAATAATTTTCCAAATAATTCCAACTGAGACTACAACTTAGTGGTTCTCTGTCCACATAACCATCATACAAACACTTCAACCTTGCCATTTTACGAAAATTTCGTCCACGGGATTGATACCCATGTATTCACAAGATTTCGGGACTTTCACCCTGGACACTCCGACCAACTTAATTCTCAATGGAGTCTAACCACTATCTCCTCCCAAACAATGGAGTACATCCCCTTTCTTCTCCCAAAATATTACACATATGCAATGTATTTAAATTCATCGCCATATACACTGACTAGTCATAACACATATTTAATGCCTTAATCACACTGTCATATTCAATGACAAACTTAAATGATTAGTTTCAATTTGCCTAATCATCTTGTAATCTCTGCAACAATCATAGCTATCCTCCACCGATAGCCCAATACTAATATTTCTAAACAGATTTATAATCTTTAGAACAGATAAATTGTCAAAATTCCATGGATGAGTGATTGAAACAAATCCAACTACACCATCCATTTATACTTTTCCTCAATTTCACTCTTCTCACATCAATTTCATTATTTATACAAATATTATTCAAGACCTATTTAGGGTAAATCTCCCACTTATTCAAATATTAACCCAAAGGCTAAAATTTACCATTCGAACACAAGATATCCTCATTTTCCAAACCCCATAATCATCTATGTATCCCAATGTAGAAATCCCTCTTTCAATTTGGGACCAAACCCTAGGTTTACCCAAAAACTTCCAAATTTCCACCATTTATACATAACCACAAATAACTAGGTTAAAACTCATACTAAAGTATAGAATATCCCTACCTCAAAGAGATAAGATGAGCCAAGCAAGAGAGAAACCCCAAAAGTGACGAAACCAACTTCTACTTGGATCAAAGTGAAGAGCTTGAGGAGTTCTACCTTTTTAATGAAGGCATGAGGGTGTAGAGATTAAAGGATCTAGGCTGAAATGTACCGAGAAGATGAGTTGTAGAGAGAGAGACTC